CGATCGTCAGCTCCCCCGGGCTCAACTGTCCGAGTCTTCCCGCGGCGCCGGGGCGGAGCGGCGAGGCGCACCCCGAGCTGTGGGCGCGCTGGCCGGCGCGCGGCCCCCGGCTGGGGTCGGAGGTGGAAGGACGCGGAGCAGCGCCTCTCCATTTCCGTCTGGCGGTGCGCGGAGCGGGGAGGTGGCCCTGAGCGGGGGTGGGGGGTCCGCCGGCAGGAAGGCAGGGTCTCATTCCTGCCGGGAGAGGACGGAAGTCAAGTGCAGATTTCCTCCGCGCGCCTCTGGCGAGGCCGAGGCCCCCACCCGGTGCTTAGGAGAAGGGGGTGTGTGTGAAGGTGGAAACTTTAAATAAGTGCTGTTTAAAAATTTCCCATTTTCTACTCTTCCTGAGCAACGAGCTCTCCGTTTTCCAACCATGTGTCCAGGTGGCAGTCTTGTCTTTACGAATCCACGCTAATCTTGAAAACAGCTTAAGCTTCCCCGTCGATTGTTTACTTTAATACATCAGACACATCTGTGTGTGGCTGGAAGTATTTCTGTGCAGGGACTGTGAGGGTTGTTGTTGGCGTTCCGTTGGGGCATTAAATAGACCTTAAGGGAAAAGTGCTAATGCCTGTTGCAAAGTCCCGAATTAATTACAGCAAAACGTGGGTGCGTTTAAATCTTGGTGTTTTCGTGATTGGCCAGAAGGGCCACAGTTTTCCACACGATGGGGCAAATTTCGTTTCGTTAGCTCCTTATGAGCTTACATCTAGGGATCATAATTGTGAACCTTCGCAGAAGAAAAGTTATTCTTTGCAATGTGGGCCTAGTGATTATGTTATTAAAGATTTCTGAAATCTTTCCTTCTGCTCTGTCTTACTGGCTCTTTTTGTGCACCCGATTGCATAAGGAGATCCCCGAGCAATCTTCGATTTAAGGGTAGTACATTTATATACCTTTTTTTAAGGAGTGGTGAATCAGATTGGAAGGATGCTTTAGAGGCAGATTCTATACTGCACGCTGAGGAACAGTACAAAAAATGGCTGAAGTCAGGTGGGATTAAAATCTACAGTATTAAATCATGTTGAAGAGTGAATCACTGAAGAATCCATTTCCCCAAATGGATGTTTGTTCTTTCTCACAATTTACATTTTAGGAAATCATTGATATTAAAGGGACTTTATTAAAAACGATTCCCAGGATCATTTGGATTAATTATTTTTAGATATGCCAGTTATTATCGTATTCTGTTTCAGAAGGAATGTGATAATTAATTCTTTGAGAGTGATAATCTTGCCAGATTGCTGAGCTATACAGATTATCTGGTCATAGTTCGTTGTCAAAGTCTATTGCTTCGGGAGTGATGTGTTACTCTTTACTCACCATTCATTCACTCAAGTATGTAAGGTACATACTTAGCCCTTCCTTGCTAAGGGAGAGAGACTAGCCTCAGCTGCTGGGGGGAAACAGTAGTGATCAGGGCAGTCCCTGCTTTCATGGTGTTTACAATCTAGTTGAGGGACGCAAACAGTATTCAGGTAAACATATTAATAAATATATATGTTCTAATTAGGTTAGGAAAATAGGGAGAGATTTGCCAAGTCAAACGCTGAGTAAGGGATTCTGAGTAAGGGATTCTGATCTGAAGAATGTCAGGCTCCAAAGCTCTTTCTGGGGCTTTCACTCAAGTGCATTAATTGATTGCATGTGGTGTGTGTGTGTATTGTTGGTGAATATGGAAACATCAGTCCCTGGTCAAATAAGATTGTTCGAAAACTAGTGTTAGAATTGGGTGTGTCTCTAGTCATATTTGGGTAAATTCTGATGCACTCCCAAAATAATGCTGAATATCTCAAAGTAATCTGTAATCTTATTCTTTAAAGAAGACTGCAACTCATCTTAGAATTAGAAAATTGACAGTCAAGAAAAGTAAAAGTATTTTACCTTTATGCCTTTGTAGATGCTGTTTAGGTAGACTTTGAACACTCCCTCTTCACTTCTTGTCTGGTGAGTTTTTCCTGGTCTCTCAAGCTGGTAGCCTTACTTGGATAATCCTACTCCTGTCCATCCCCACCTTCCTCTGTCCCCCTCATAATTTCATGGAGTTTTTGTAATCTCAATAGCATTTATCATCCTTGCTGTATTGTAAATTTTTCTCTCGTCTCCTCATTAGACTGGGAAGGCCTTAAGGGGAAGGACTGTTGTTTATTTCTGCAGTTTGGTGGATCACTAACTTCTGCAAACCAGAGAGCGGTTTCCCTGAGTCCCTCATTTCTCCTACCAGAGTCTGGGGGGAAGTGAGTTTGTTTAGCATGGCTGAGGTTGGGGCTGTATGTGTGTGGAGTGGTAAAGAGGAGGCGTTGGATCTAAAGAGAATGATAGTACTACTCAGGGAGTCAACATCTGTGAAAATATTTATGATGAATTGGAATTTTATTTTAGAAATAGTAAAGTTTACCTGGTTTTTTTCATTTGTCAACTTAAGGCGTCTGGGCAAATTGGCAGTACCTTAATTGGATTAAGTAACTGTTAAAAACACATCTCTTCAGGTATGTCTTATTCTAGGTCACTCTTGTGCGAACATGTGAAAATCTGTTTTTCTTAAGTTAGTGTTATAGCCTGACCCAAATGAGTGATTCTTTTTAGATTGCAGTGAATAAATTTGCAAAGGTCCCTCTCGAAATGCCTCTTGTTATTTGTCTGTGAACTGATATATTTTCAGTATCACATGGTGTTTGTTTTGCCACTCAAGTGGCTTCAGATTTCTCATAGTAGTTACCTAATATTAAATAGATTAGGTAGTGTACTTAATAATTATGAGATGGTGGGAAAAGTGGCCTGGTACATATTAAGAGGGGCCAAGGTTTGGAAATTGAGGTGCAAGCTGTAGAGCAGTTTTGGGTGGCCTAGGACTCGAAATTTATAATATGGGTCATGGACTGTTACACGAAGGCAGGTCCGTAATCATTGTTAGCACCAACTGGGACCATTATGTCCCTTCCTGTTCGGGTTGCAGAAGTCCTGGTTGGGAAGAGATTGCTGAGGAGGGGGATTGGGTAAAGGAGAAGTTGGTAAGGGTGGTAGGTCCTGGGATGGCACTGGCCTGGCTGCTTGCCCACTCCCAGCCACAGCAGGGGGAGGTAGAGCCGTCGGAACGTGGTGAGGCCAAGGCCACAAGTCAGCTCTGCGTGGGTCTGACAGGTTTACTTCTTAAAAGCCTGTACCTAACACAGCACCCTACACACGGTAACCTTTAAAACTACTTATTGAAGGAAAGTCACAGGTGGAGCAAGCTATTTGTCTTTTCTCATTGTTTTGCGTCTCAATGGGGTCACTCAGTAAGAGTTAAGATGTGTGCAAGGTCAGTGCAATTTATTATCACTCCAGAGAGAAAGGAAAGGGAGGAAGAACCCTCAAAGCCTGTGCCCTGTTGATTGCCCCCCGGGGTGGCGATGGGTGTGTGTGCGCGCACGCGCTCAGGCTGCTCTCCTCTTATGCAGTCCGAATATTGTATTAAATAATAAAATGCTTTGTTCCTTCTCAGGGAATAGGGTGGGTGTATTTCTTTTATTTGTAAAATAACTAATTTTTATTAATATTTTATTAGTAAAATAGTACTTCTATGATAGGAACATTCAGAGTGAGTTGCCATTGTTTTACTAATTTTTGCTGTTTTTACCATAAATGTTAATTCTAGACAGGGAAATTTCAAAAAGAAGGGTTTTTCTAATCATGTAAATGGTTAAATACTGATAAGGAATGTTTGAGCATGTGTTTGAGGAGGCTTAGTGGAGAGAACATTTAGAACAAGTTATAAAAGTTTTATTTAAGCTTGCTAATCTGATTTTGGCTAAAGTACATTTTGGTTATTAAAAATTATACATTCTCATTATAGAAAATTTGGAAAATATTTTGTAAAAAGCATTTGAAAACTCTTAAGCAAAAGGAAAGAACTGCTTTACCTCCTAGAGCATATTTTGTCTTTTAAAAAAAAACTTAATTGAGCTTATACCCTAGATAAAATTTTCCATTTCAGTTTTCCCCATGAATGGTTGTCTTGCTAGTTTTAAAATTTGTACAATTGCAGGATAAGCATGGAGAGTTTAATGTTTAAAATAATATGACAAGATAGTTAACACCGAAAGGTATAGTGATAGGCTACCAGGTTGTTGACAGGTTATTTATCGATTGTAAGAGGATAAAGTTATATAGTTAGGAGAAAAGGAATTTTGTAAAAGATGATGGGTTTAGTCTAATCTTAGGCCCTTATTAGTTATCACAAAGGTAAGACCACTGGGATTTGAAACTTTTAATACGCTTAAAAAGTATAGTTTTAAACACCATATTCAGGTGTGTAGAATGTGTCTAAAGACTGGTTTTATTTTATATCATGTGGTTTTGCTTACCTTCTGCTTCTAGCTAATCTTTTTATAATAGATCTCAGAACAGGTTAATTATTTACCCTACCATGATCCATATGGCCGGTTTTAGCCAGACTTGATCACAACATGTCTGTTGTCTTATTTGATTTCAGGCTTTTGACCAGGCCCCCGGAGATGGAAAACCTCCATTTTTGTTACTTGCAAGTTTCTTTCTTCCTGCCTTTGAGATCATTTTTATTCTAGTTCTTCTGAAACTTTTACTGTCTCAGGAAAGATTATTTAAGCACTTGTTCACTTAGTAGCATTAATTCCTTTCCAGAAACCTTCATTTTTCCAGATTTAGATGGTCTAATTTAGATAGTCTAACCTAAAATCTAATTTAGATTTTCTTTTAATAACTTAATTCCAGAAACTTAATATTTAATATTTTATTATGTATCCTACGGCATGGTATATTAAAAAGAGCAGTTGAACCAGAAGATAAATTCTAGTTCACATTTTGACATTTAGATCTATATAGATGGGAAAATCTCTTAAAACTTTCTGAGTTCATTTTTCTCATCTGTGAGATAAAGGGATTAGATTGGACACTTTGATAAATATTTCTTGTATGTTTGTTTCCTTCCAGATCTAAAACTGATACTTTGATCCCTTCAGAGTTTATAAATTATTATTGATATCATCAGTATTTTGGAAGCTCTAATCAGGTTTTATCTATTAATTTTTTTCTTCTGACTTTTTGACCACCTTCACCCCTGCACCTCTGCAACCACCAATCTGTTCTCTGTATCTGTGAGTTTGGTGGGGTTTTTTGTTTGTTTGTTTGTTTTTAAAATTCCACATATTAGAGATCATCTGGTATTTGTCTTTCTCTGATTTACTTCACTTAGCATAATGCCCTCTAGGTCCATCCATGGTGTTGCATATGGCAAAATTTCATTCTTTTTTTCTGGCTGAGTAATATTCCATGGTTGTGTATATACCATAATTTCTTTTATCCAGTCATCTGTCAGTAGACACTTAGGTTGCTTCTGTGTCTTGGCTATTGTAAATAATGCTGCAGTGAACACAAGGGTGCAGATATCTCTTTGAGTTAGTGTTTTCATTCTCTTCAGATAAATACCCAGAAGTGGAATTGCAGGATTGTTCTATTTTTATTTTTTTTGAGGAACTTCCATACTATTTGCCATAGTGGTTGTACCAATTTACATTCCCACCAACAGTGCATAAAGGTTCCCTCTTCTTCATATCCTCACCAATACTTATTTCTTGTCTTTTTGATAATACATTCTAACAGGTACGAGGCCGTACCTCATTGTGGTTTTGATTTGCGTTTCTTTGAGGATTAATGATGAGTATCTTTTCATATACCTGTTGGCTATCTGTGTGTCTTTGGAAAAATGTTTATTCAGATCTTCTTCCCATTTAAAAAATCAGATTTTTTTTTTTTTTTTTTTTACTATTGAGCTGTATGAGTGAGTTCTTTATATATCTTGGATATTAGTCCCTTACCAGATACGTGATTTGTAAATATTTCTCCCATTTAGTAGGTTGCGTCCAGTCATGTTTTAGATAATATAAGGAGCATGGATTTAGATATAGTTAAATATGAATTATGCCTAGTTCCCCAGTTTTGTTCATGGAGAATTGCAGTCAAAATTAATATCTATTTCTAACTTTAAAAGCATTTAGTGGAGGTTAGTGAAATTGCCATTTTATTCATTAACAGGCTATTCTATGTAACTATTTACTCATGTTTCAACATTTTTTCTTTTCCAGTACCATTAAAATGAATTTGAATTGGTGCCATTTCTTGAGAGTCTACATTTGTTTCCTTAGGTGTGAGTGTAACCTTGGACAAATTAATTGTGCCATGGTTTCCTTATCTGTAAAATGGGGATAAAATGATAGCTGGTTCATAGTAATCACTCTGTAATGGTGGTGGTGGTTCTTTCATACCCCTCTAAAGTGATTTGCTCCCTCAGTGTGGAAAGGACTCTTTGGCGCTACTGATTAATGTTAGCTCAACAAATATTAGTAAGCAAAACTGAAATTTGTTTTATGAAATGCAATTACTGCAGTTCATTTTCATCACAAGAAACAGCTCATTAGTACTATATGCCTCTGAAAGCACAGATTTATTTTGAAGTGGATTAGATTATGATACTATAAACTAAGAATGAAGATGATCTTTCTCTGTTTTAAATAGTTTGTAGAAAGATTTTATTCTTTTTACCTGGGAATAAAAATGTCCTAATTTGTGACATTCTTGAACGTGTTTGAGAAGTTTAGATAAGTTGGGAATACTACTTTTAGAAGAAAAATCTTGCCTTATTTTTTATACTAGAAAAAAAGCAACCCAACTTTTTGTTTGTTCAAGCTGTGTGTATCAAAGTCAACTTCAGGCCTTATTTTCTTTTGTGTTTTCCTATTGTTCCTGCCCCTGTCCTTTCTTGGAATAACATCTCTTGTTGGCCTGCCATGCAGTTACCCAGTCTGCTTTCATATCTTGTCGAAAATCTGTTCTCTCCTTGTCTCATGGGCTGGAAGAGGATTAAATATCTGTAAAGTGCTTTAAGGTGTTGTAAGGAAAGGGTAAATGATAGATGTTATGAAGTTATGTAT